AAAAAAAAAGATTTTAAAAGCTTAAAGAAAACAATCAGCTTAAAAATGAAATAAACTATAATTTTTTAAAAGTAACTGCAATTTGTTTTTCCTGGGTATAAAGCTACCTACAAGAACACCAAAACATTGTGACAGATTAGGAGTGAAAGATCTAAGTTCCAATTTTAACTCTGTCGCTAACTTGTTCATTTCATTTCTCAGTGCCTCACTTTCCTCAGCTGCACACGATGAAGCTAGAGAGGAGACTTTTTTTCTGTGTTTGCCATCTCTATTATAAAACTGGACAGTTACTAAAGAGAAGATTTTGTAAGATGTCAGCCACTTTCGAGCAATGAAGTCAAAATAAGCCATCAAATAGGGGTAACTTGGAGCTCTCTTCCTAGTACCACAAAAGCACTTCTCAATGTACTGACCAGCCTGATTCTGATGGTCACGGGCAACCTTATGCTCATGATTTTCCAGTCAGCAGTGAGGTGATCTGCAATGTAGCTTAAACGTTACCTCCATGTATTTGCATCAGGATCAAAAACTTCAATGGTCTTCAAGTACGTTGTGCCATCGAAGCCTCCTACAGCCATGAGCTGCCCATTCACCACTGCCAGGCCAACCTGTAGGACCAAAACATAGTGGCTGCTGAAGAAGCCAGAGAATCACTGGGAAAATTTACACTAGTTTCTCCATAAATCTTTACTAAAAGATATTTTTTAAGGCCTTATATTATGGCTTACTTGAATACAGAGAAAAAAGTAATGGCAAAAATCTACTACATTGTTGGAACAATAAAATTATATATTCAATTAAAGTATTTACACAGAGTCAAAAACAGATTTTTTAAAATTTTAGAAAAGCATCACTGGGAGTAGGAACCTCCAAAAGGCTCTCACTTTTCTGGTATCTGCCTGTTCTAATCCACTACCTAAATTGCCACTAAAATTCTGTTTAAAATACCCATGCTGTCACTCTCCTCTAAAAACGAAGCCTCTCTACCGCCTAAGTTTAAAGTCCTTATTATGTTGTTCGGGCCCTCCAGAAACCCATAAGAACCCAT